GTTGAGGGCAAAAAATGAAGTTTTTCATCGTTTTTTCTAAAACATTGTTGAATTATTTCAATTGTCAATTTTCATTTATACTTAAAATTCATCTATTTATAAAATAAGTAAAATGTAGAAGGGAGATGGTAGCCAATCCAATTACTGACGATTTTTAATGGTGTTTTTTAAACCTAATACCGACTCCAGTACTGCTCAAGAAGAGTTCAATTTTCTGCCGACCCTATCCAAAATTGTTAATTATATTATTTGAGTATGAGTTCTTACGGCCACATTAATATAGAACAGTAATTCTGAACACCCTTGTCATAACCTCACACTTACCACAAAAAAAAACAAAAGCTCATAAAACAAAAAAGGAAATCGTTAATAAAAAAAAAGAACTTTAAAAAAATATATATGAACATCCCGTGGGAGATGATAATTGAGTAAAGTACACATAATTATAAAAGAAGGCGTTGAAATAATATTTTCAAAGGCCATGTGGTACAAAGATGTCAAGCTAATGGAAGCGACTAGGGTGTTAATTTTTGTGGAGTGAGCGTAGTGTGATGGTCGTAAACGGTGTTATGATCAAAGGGTATATTTTAAGTTATTTGTGTTCTTGAGTGTAATTTCATGTTTTCTTTATTAATAAGTGTTTGGGTATTCTTAAGTTTAAGTTTAAAGATCAAAGTAATATTGTTAGTGGTGTTGTGACGTTGTTTTGTTGGTTTCTGTGATAATTAATAGTAAAGTATTACCTATTTAAAAGTAATTTACAAGATATTTAAATTATAACAAGATACATACATTAACATAAACATAACATCACGCCTTTTATCCCCGAAGGGGTAGGCAGAGGTGCACATTACGGCACTCAATACCAACTGTACAATGTAACACCCACTTTTCACTATTTATGTCATGAGTCTAATGTAATAAGTGGTGAGCATATTGCCATATACCGGGCACAATTTCAGTCTCCACCGTTGAGATTATTTTAAAAACCCAGGAATATTTTACCCAACCCGGGACTCCGAACCCGAGATCCCATGCCCGGCAGTCGCACTATGACAAGATAATTTAAATTAAAATGGATTCCTATTCCTTTAAATTATGGAAAAATTATGATATACATGTTGTGAATATAATTTCATACATTTAGATATGTAATGTTTGAAATTATATTAGCTTTTTATATTTCAATCTATTACTATTTCTATTAATTCACAACGCTAAACAAATTTACTAACAATTCATTAACAAAAAACTTGAAACCAAAATCAACCGAACACATTTCAAATTCCCGAGTTATTCACACACATACACACTCACACAAAACTGTCACATCTAGATAGCACATATCAGTGTAATTGACACTCTCACACATGGCCGTGTCAAGCCATATGTGTCGATTGTCACCGATTGTACTCTCGATGTACTCACATAGAGCTATACAGAACCAGTATATCGTGGTCTCGCTTTGGATGTTCTTTCTGCGCATTCGACGGTCAGCTTATACTGGATATGTATAGCTTGATGTGCCGTGTATACTAAAGTGTATTTTTATATAGAATTGTACTGGTATTTGATGAATGAAGGGTCTACTTAGAGGTTAATGAACTAAAGTCGTAATTATATTTGGTAATGACTTGGGTTTTGCGTTGGTCAAAATGGATATTTATGATTGTTATAGAATATTTTTTATCAACTAGCTTCTGGTCGCAACTTCTTGCGCCCAATCCTGTTTTCTCCTGTTCCCGTAGGAATTTTAGGATTTCTTATTCTGTCATAAGAAGGTTCTTATTGTCAGGAGTTTTGGTAAGAAAACACTACAAAAAAAAAGTAGTGAGATCGATCCAGGCCAAGGGATATAGGGATTCATTTATAATATAACATCACGCCTTTTATAGGGTAGGCAAAGGTGCACATTACAGCACTTAATGCCACCGTACAATATAACACCCACTTTTCACTATTTATGTTATCAGTCCCATGGAATAGGGGGTGGGCCTATTACCATATTACCGGGCACGATTCCAGACTCCGTGTACTACTAAAATTTTTTTTGCCCGATACCCGACCCGGGTATCTAACCCAAGACCTCTTGCCCGGCAGTCGAATTTGTGACCGCTTTGCCGAAGAGGCAGTCATTATATAATATATGTATATAGAGTATAGATACTTTTATTGTATAGGGCGGTAATCGTCTCAATCAAATCAACAACAAGACAAAGAAAATAATAATAACCTTTTCCCAGAAACAAAATAATGAGATAACATAAAATGTAGGTACATCTGCTACAATTGATTTTATTCCTTAGAGGTATATAGCATTATTTCTTTACGAATCCGTCCTATTATGTGCTTAGATACTTTAATTAGTTCTCGGAAAGGATATCTTTACTTTCTACTCATATATGTTTGGGCTAAAGATAGCATTATATTTATTATTATTTTCAAAAATTGTCATATATTTTTTACAATCGAACTCTTTTTCCATATTCTTTATCTCTCCGGTAACTCTCACTCATGCAGAGAACCACCACGCAAGCGTTGTTTTACGTCGGTTTTCTTTGAGGCCGTGGTATCACTCCGGTCTAGCCGACCCATTTGTACCAAAGCATGGCTCTCCCACACTTGCATATCACCAAATATCAGATAATCTGTCATCAAAAAGGGGGTAAATTCCAATCACTAAATTCGACCCAATCATACAAACGGGGCAAGCCATATAAAATTGTTTATTCATCTGATATATATGATGACTATATTAAAATAACTGTTAGGACATATGTTCCAATGATTTATTACCTACATAGCTTTTAATTATTTTTTCGCGATTGGAATGCGGTTTTCTAGTTGTATTTTATTTATATGGAAAGTCATGTTTGTAGTGTTATTTACAAAAGGCCTAAAAGCCTGTTTTAGTCGCTGATTGATTTATTACTTTCTTTTGATAGACGAAGAAAATAGAAATATTGTTGTTAAAATGGATAGTCATAATAATTTATCTATGTTTGTTATAGTTGTAGCAATTAGAATGTTTATGTAATTGTATTCATCATGACTAATTACCGAAGAAACTTGTTCCTTCAAAAGGGGGTTTGCCATAATTCACGGGTTTGTCAGGCGTCGTCGTCGCGTTACCAAAATATTGTCCATACTTGGTTATGGTGGTACTCGTCCCAAAGTGACTGGTCACAACTGCAAACCTTAAAAACACATTTAAAATATTTTAATCAGTTATTGCCATTCTGTCATTCTTATTAATTCAAGTTTATAGACTATTTCTAAGCATTAGGTCACAGGTCAAAATTAAAACAAAAACGATTTTAAAAGAACTTGATATATTTAAAATATCAAATGTCATTACATAATTGACAGTAATAATAAAATGTGAATAAAAATGGCCGATCAAAATGCAATAATTTATAAGAAAATTACTTGAAACTTATATAAAACTACAGGGGGTACCTAATAGGCAATCTTCGAGTTTTTTATGCGCATGTCAGTTGCGACCGAAATATTCTAAGTAGCGACTGTTATGACTAATATTTTTGAAATACCACTGCATGTTCAATTTTATCATATCTCGCTTGTTATTCACGAAAACATAAGCAGAAGGATGTAGACTATTTATTTATTTTTTTAAAGGGGGAATATCATCGAGTCACTGCTCCCGCCTGGGTGAGGCGGGAGGGAGTGCGAAACCCTTACTGACTAAAAACCACTCCGTTCCTTCCTCTGCTCTTCGAGCCGGAGCCCCAGTAACCCGCTAGGTTCTCCGCGAGTCCGAATCGGTATTAGTCCGTGGTAGAGGGCGGTAGATTTACTGACTGTATACTTTAAGTCTACCTACTATGAATTTCAAAAATCTGAATGCATTTTGCTCTACTAAAAAATCTTTGCTTGACAGTCAGATGGGACTACTCAATCATTTAAGTAAAGACTCGAGCTCGCCAAATGTTATTATCAACGAATTTTTGATATTATTTAAAAACAATAAAGTCGGAATTCCGTTGAAAATGATGGCGTCTATTCTAAATTTAAAATAACAAATTAAATTACTATAATGCCTAAACAGGCAAGCAAACATTTTAAGAATCCATGTTAATTTATAACGCACTTATGCAAATCAAACTTAAGATGGGCACAATTAAATAAATTAAAAAATAATTAATAGTTTGACCACATTAATGTGATCGTTTCGGTAGACAACAGTGTGTAGAGATAAAATTACATATTTTTTTGGATCCCACTTCTTTTGTTTATTGGTTGTAATTATTTTGACTTTAGAACCGGTATCAAAAAAATAACGGTCAAAAAATGGATCTCTTGAAATTCGATTCCTATTAATCACTATTGAGGATTACAATCTTTTGACATTAAGTTGTTTATTTATTTATGTTTTTATAATAACTATCGTGAGACATACTAAATTAAGTAAAAACGCGGACTACTCACGTGAATATACTGAGAAAAGCTCTACTAGTTTCGAACCACAGAGGGGTTCTTCGACAGCGACGTCAAACGTGCTTAACAAAGGACTAATTCAGACGTTATATATCAGGACTAAATTTTAAAACACTAATGTTATAAGTTTATGCAATGTTAATGTTGAAGATTTATTAATAAAACATTACGGTCAAGATTATACCTCATACGTTTCACAAAAAAGATATACCTACATTTGACTGCATGGTTGGTGCGGTGGCTGGGCAACCGGCTGCAGCTCAAAATGTCGTAGGTTCGATTTCCGCTCTTTTTGTGTTATCCACATTCAAATTGTTGTTTCGGGTCTGGGTGTCATGTATATGTGAAGTTGTATGTTTGTAAATGTACCCACGAGACAACACACAATCGTAGGGTGGGGCAACGATTTTTTTTAAATAATATTGAACTAAGAAGTCTTTTCTTTTGTTTCAGATAAAATGTTAAACAAGAATTCCTGAAAAATCAACACAAATGTACAGAAAAACGGATATCAGTCATCAATATGCTTCACACATATAACGATGGCGGTACAATACAAAGAGACATTTGAAAACGGAACGCCATTAATATCCTTGCGCGTACGCAGGGCTGATTCCAAATTCAAATATAGCACGGAAAGGCGCCGGAAATGGGCTCGGCCGGATGTCGGCGTTTGCTTCCTGTCGTTCTTCGTTTTGATTGTCGGTTGCCATGGTTACCAAGAACAGAGATTTGCCATGGAACCACAAGATCAGGTTAGTTTTTTAAAGTTGCGTTATGTTTCTAAGTAAACATAACGTAAGCTATTATTATTTATTTTTGATTGACCACGGCGTTATTTATTAAAATCATAAAGTACGCACGACGGAACAAAAAAAATACCCACCAAAATAGTATTTAGTTTATATTTTAAAGGTATTCCTTGTAAATCGATAGCCAGAACTAAATACCACATTTTTAAATAAATAAATAACAAAAACATTCCTACACAATTTATTTAAGAAAAATAAATTCTAATAAAACACGCTGTATGTCATTAATTTTTGCGATAGAACAAAATAATCAAAGCTTGTTCTAACATCGTACGGTTCGTGATTTTGATAAGGATTTAATTTATTATCAAAAACAATTTAATTATTGATTCAAATTAGCTATTGCTACCTATTAGCAAGATTTTTAATTTTGATATCAAAGCACATTAAAGATTGACAAAAATTAATTGGTAATGTATGAAAATGACTGAATCGTCGCAAGCGCGACTGCCGGGCAAGGGGTCTTGGGTTCGATTCCCGGCTTGCTCAATGCGGGTTGGCAAATTCCAAACTTATAATTAGAAATTATAAGCTTAGGTTCCCTCACGGTATTTTCCTTCATGGTTTGTCAGTGGTGTCTTAATAATCTTAGAAAGTACATATAACTCGGAAAAAGCCACATTGGTACTTGCCGTTAGTAGGTTTCGGACCCGCACTCTCATGCATGAAAAGCGGGCGTCTTAAACCTCTGGGCCACTACGACATTTTTATACTCACTCATAATTAAAAAAAAACTAACAGTACATAAAAACATACATTTAAATGAATAAACATAAAAAGTGCAATAAAATGGCTTTTAACTTAAAATGTATATCGCCATTAGATATTAATTAAAACTTGATATAATCAGCCATCTGGTTAATTACTTTTTACGACATTCCCCGCTAATCTAAAAAGCAAAGATTAAAATAGTAAATAGTTGTATTAAGTGATGTGTGAATTTTGTTTTATTTATTTTATTCATTTATGGGGACAAAATACAGTTTTTTTTAATCTTTATTTAATAAGAAGGGCTTTTTTCCTAAGAGGAAAATTTCAGCCCTATTATAGGATATAAAATTCAGTTCAAAAAATAAAGCAGCTAAATCGTTTATAGGTATAACTAGCCGTTAAGCTTAAACATAAAACCATAATTATATAAAAAATATTTTAGTCTGTGTATCATATGTATATCCATATGCATATGTAGTAAAAAGCGGTTATTTTATTATCATAAACAGATACTCCAATTTTATTTATAAGTATAGATTATGTATAGTATAGAGTATTTCGCAATAGTAATCAAGTAATCAAAATAATGAATAATTAAAATAAAACCACAGTTTTACATTAACCTTACAAGTTAAAATCTCAGTGACCTCATATAACAATATAAAGTTAACTCGTAAATTAATTAATAGTTAAATCGGCAGATCGACGCGTCAACGAAATCTTTACGATTATTTAACGACTTCTCGGTTATCAATTTTTACTTTTTATAATGGGTAAAAGGTTATTAGTCTAAATATTCTAAATTTACTGCCTCGTTGGCTGTGGTCGCAAGTGCGACTGTCGGGCAAGGGGTCTCGGGTTCGATTCCCGGGAAGAACAAAATATTATTGAGTTTTCTAAAATTAAATTATCAGTAGTAGCACAGAGTCTGGAATTGTGCCCGGTATATGGCAATAGGTTACCTGGAACTCAGAACAATAGGCTCCGGCTCGAAGTGCAAGAGTTGGGACGGGGTGGTTTTTAGTCAGCAAGAGTCTGACAGTCCTTCTCGCCTCACCAGAGCGGGGGAAGTCACTGGATGATAGTAGCCCCTCAAAAAAAAATCAGATATAGTGAAAAGTGGGTGTTACATTGTACAGTGGCATTAAGCACCGGAATGTGCACCTCTGCTCTAACATCAAGCCATTTATCCCTAAAGGGGTAGCCCTTATGTTATGTTATATTCTAAATTGCGTTCGGGGAAAAAATAAAACAAACATGGTTTGTTTTCTCTTTATCTATAACTTCAATCCTCTCTCTTCATTTATACATTCTCGTTGATAACGGTGCCTTTAAATATATTAGTTTTTCTTAATTGTAACAAGGCATTATTTGCTTTGTATCTTGCAGTAAATTGGTGCATAAGTACATGTCAGTACAGTTAAAAATATCAAATCCGTAAAGCGTAGTGACCTTGTAATCGATTTTCCCAACTCAATAGTAACTTATACCTGTCGTAAAACCGCAAAAGCATTATTCAAATTAATTAAAAAGCTTTCTTTAAATCAACAATAGAATCAAAACTATAAATCTTCCGCGCCATTTAATCAGGCCACACTGAACTGAATAAATTAATAAATCAGTTTGGTTAACTATTAAAAAAACATCGCACAAGTGCGAGACATTCACTCGCATAGAGTTCCGTACACGTATGGTTCAAAATCAAGAGTATTAACACCATCACTACTGGATTTTGACCTCTTCAGATCTTCCACGTAAGGGAATTTAAGGGACTTTAGACAAGTGAAACAAGTGAATTTATTTCTGCAAATAGGCTACAAGGCAGCACTTTTACACGTCAATTTTATCAAGCGAACGATGAGGTCGACATTTCCTAACTGACTACTCTGAGAAGAAATGTCGAAACAAACTCAGAGGTCTGTCTCTTTTAAAGTCCAGACAAATATGTATAAAAAGATTGTGTGAGAACCGTGCAAGTTCTTTCTGTAGTGGCCTTCTGTAACGGCCAACGACGAGGTTAAAATTTCGGCTGAATACCTTCACATATTTTTGAGGTAGTCTGGACTGGACACGTGCTTAGTCTTGCTTGCTCAGTGCCTAGGCGAATGGCTACAAAACGTAGCTCGTACGAGACAAGTCGTCGTATAATTAGAAATTGTTGTTCTCAATGCAAACTGTAAAAAAAAATATGTCGAACAACAGAAGAGTTTAAAGGTTTCCTCTTTAAGCCAAGAAACCCTAAAAAAAGATAACGATCTGTCAAATATTTTATTGTAATTATGTAGACGCCTGTCCCTAAATCAATTATTCATGAATATGTATATAATGGATTAGCAGAATCTTGATATACAAACATACATACATAATGAGAGGATTATGGTTTTTGAGCCGATCTGTGGCTATAAACAAGATACAACAGTCTTTGAATAGTTTGAATTTTTAAGGAATTTTTTGGTGGAAGTTTAAGTTACAAGCGAATAGCGAGCAACATTTTTATTTATACTATACTAGCTTTTACCCGCGGCTTCGCGTCACAAAAGGATAAAAGTAGCTATACCAATATACACAGCGCCTTCTATATCAATTCTTTTGTTTTCCCTCGGGAATACCAAAATTTTCCGGGATAAAAAGTACCCTATTATTTAATCCGGACTTCTAATTTTATGTCTGCAAAAATTCAAAGCAATTGGTTTAAAAGTTACGGCGTGAAAGCGGAACAAACAAACAAACAAACAAACTCACTTTCCCGATTTATAATAGTAAGGATAAGTCTGGAAGAGCCATGCTTCGACACGAATGGGCTGGCTCGACCGGAGTGGTACCACGACCTCACATAAAACTCCCCCCCTTCTCCAATCTCCTTAATCCCTGAATCCCCAACGATCCTCAAACTCCTAATCCCCAAAAGGCCGTTGAAGCACTTGTAAAGCATCTGGTGTTCCAGGTGTCCACGGGGGACGCCGATTGCTTACCATCAGGTGATCCGTCTGCCCGTTTACCGGCTTATGCCATAAAAAAATAATCAAGTTGGTTTCAAGTCAAGAAATCAAGCAATTAATTAATATTACAGCATATACATACATAACCCCACATCCGTCTCCTAGGGGGGTAGGCAGAGACTATGGAATGCCAATTGCTACGATTCTCACATACCTCTTTCGCTTTATCAACTTACAGTCATCATTCTTTTCATGTAGGCTCATAAGTATTTAATATTGTGTTAGTAATAAAATGATATCGTTAATGAAATATTAACTAGGTTTTGTTGAATTTTAACTGGTAAAAGTGTTACACCAGTCTCCATTTCGTTCTTTGTAAAACATATAACAAATATTTATAAAAATGTAATTATTCTTCGATGAAAATTATATAGAGAAATCGTCATCAACAAAATTGCTTATTATATCAGGACACATTAAAATGCGATACCCACATACAATTTACATTACTTTAATATCCAAAAAATAGAGAAGAACTTTACATAATTTAGAGAAAAGAAATGTAACTGAATCTTATATTTATATTGCAATCTTTGTGCATTACCATTATGCGTATTATAAGCCATTTTCATGACTCAATGAAGAGAAAGTGACCAAATAATCATAAGTCTAAGTGTAATATAGTACGCTCTCCCAATTATACATGTATGTATGTGAATGTATGTGTGTGAAAACGTAGCTATAATCACATTTATACAGCTACTGTATGTAAAGATTATAATTTTGGGCCGGAAAGGCAATTTTAGAAGAAGGTGGCTTATGGTGAACTAGTTTTACCACGAAAATGTGTTTGATATGAACATAGCTTTATTTAATAATAAAATAAAGAAGAAATACAAGAAGCTGACGGTCGACCTTCAACATTGAAGAGGCACTATAAGAAGAAGATAGCTTTATTTTCAACCAAGTCAAAAACATTTTACATTCTTCATTTTTTAAAGTCTATTTTTATTTATTTTATTTTTAAAAAACGTTGCCCTAAAACCGTTCTAGGGCTAATTTATAATAAATCAAATACCCTCAGCTCAAACCGAAAATCCTTTTAAAACATCATCAGCATTTACTTTCACCAAACTAAAAAAATCAATCAAAAATTCACCCAAAAATGGATCTTCTCCCTTCGTAGCAAACCTTCTTTGATAACATACAAACAGCTGTGTTTAAAAATAGATGTACCTTAGTAGAAATAGCACGCGCGGTTAGGGTAATATAAAACATGGGGTGACGTTTACG